CCCCCTCTCGCCGTCGCGCTTACCCTCGGAGGCGAACCCCCTCAATCTCGTGCTCGACATTTCCGCAGGAAAATACGGCTGCCGGTGTCGACTGTGACGTACCGTCAGGTCAGAATAGCGGCCCGCTCGTTTCGAGATTTCACACAGTGACGAATGAGAACTCCCTCGGCTCTCTCTCCTAAAGCCCGTATCTCGTTTTCACTCCTTTTACTTGTCTACTCCGCAGTGACTGCCACTTGCCCCGAGCTCCGTGAGCTCCTTCGTTCTGACTGGCCCCGGGGGAATAGAGTCAGCATTTTGTTAAAAGCTGCTTTACACGTGGACGCGGTGAATCTGCGATTTATCGTTTGTTGAAGGATTGCACGTTACTCTTTGCGTTATTGTATAATTTTACATGTGAATAACGAATAATTTTACAAATCTCTATTTTTTTACAGATCAACTTTGAGAGCTTTAATATTTAAACTTGTGTTTCAGTTTAATCGATAAACTTTGTAGTTCAGTTTCATCGATTTAATTAATGCATTTTATTTATTTATTTGTCTTAAATATATTTGTCTTTGACTCGATGCAAAGATCAGGACTACATATATATAAAAGTTTAGTCAAATAATCAAGTCTCCCAAAGTCAAAAGCCTTTCTTTATTCTATTTCGATTATAGGCAACCCTATTTTATTTCTTTCTTTCGTCTACTCTGTAATTTCCCTTTTATTCTGATCCCGTGAAGAAGTTGTCTTAGGTATTTGCTTTTTGGCTATATAAAAAGACGAACATCGGAGAAGGAATATTGATGATATGATTAAAGAAAAATTGTAAAATTGTCTTCATATAAAAAATTCAATTGATTCATAAAATTATCGGAGACGTTAGTTTTAGAATTATTATAAACATTAATTTCGCTATTATTTCCTAATAATCATTGCTACGCCTATTATGAGAGAAAATATCTAATAAAATGAAAATCTCTAATGATTCGCGCGAGAAATACATATGATGATGGAGGGCAACATGTTGTATTGATAGTAGAAATGTCCGATGCGTCGTAATTGCATGGTTCACTAACGATCGTACACCATTACAATGCCCCATCGTTCATCTAATGGTTGGGACGCACCAAGACTAGTCACGGACAATTATTTTCACAAAGGACATATATCGCGAAATGCTACTTTTATACATGGCCATTGACGTAACATATCGTGTTGCATATAGAATTGCTGTTTCTATCTTAGTCCTCTCAAAAATAGCATTCAGCACTCTCAAGTAACCATGACCTTTCAATCCATATTATTTATTGCTTTATTATTTATTTATTGCTTCACTTTCATTTTGTCAATCCT